TCTATGTTCCTATAGTACTTCACCACCCTGTTACATGGCTCTCTATGTTCCTATAGTATCTCACCATCGTGTTACATGGCTCTCTATGTTCCTATAGTATCTCACCATCGTGTTACATGGCTCTCTATGTTCCTATAGTACTTCACCACCGTGTTACATGGCTCTCTATGTTCCTATAGTACTTCACCACCGTGTTACATGGCTCTCTATGTTCCTTTAGTACTTCACCACCATGTTACATGGCTCCTCTCTATGTTCCTATAGTACCTCACCACCGTGTTACATGGCTCTCTATGTTCCTATAGTACTTCACCACCCTGTTACATGGCTCTCTATGTTCCTATAGTACCTCACCACCATGTTACATGGCTCCTCTCTATGTTCCTATAGTACCTCACCACCGTGTTACATGGCTCTCTATGTTCCTATAGTACTTCACCACCGTGTTACATGGCTCTCTATGTTCCTTTAGTACTTCACCACCGTGTTACATGGCTCTCTATGTTCCTATAGTACTTCACCACCATGTTACATGGCTCTCTATGTTCCTATAGTACTTCACCACCGTGTTACATGGCTCTCTATGTTCCTATAGTACTTCACCACCGTGTTACATGGCTCTCCATGTTCCTATAGTACTTCACCATCGTGTTACATGGCTCTCTATGTTCCTATAGTACTTCACCACCGTGTTACATGGCTCTCTATGTTCCTTTAGTACTTCACCACCGTGTTACATGGCTCTCTATGTTCCTTTAGTACTTCACCATCGTGTTACATGGCTCCTCTCTATGTTCCTATAGTACTTCACCATCGTGTTACATGGCTCTCTATGTTCCTTTAGTATCTCACCATCGTGTTACATGGCTCTCTATGTTCCTATAGTACCTCACCACCATGTTACATGGCTCTCTATGTTCCTTTAGTACTTCACCACCGTGTTACATGGCTCTCTATGTTCCTATAGTACCTCACCACCATGTTACATGGCTCCTCTCTATGTTCCTATAGTACTTCACCACCGTGTTACATGGCTCTCTATGTTCCTTTAGTACTTCACCACCGTGTTACATGGCTCTCTATGTTCCTATAGTACTTCACCACTGTGTTACATGGCTCTCTATGTTCCTTTAGTACTTCACCACCGTGTTACATGGCTCTCTATGTTCCTATAGTACTTCACCACCGTGTTACATGGCTCTCTATGTTCCTTTAGTACTTCACCACCGTGTTACATGGCTCTCTATGTTCCTATAGTACTTCACCACCGTGTTACATGGCTCTCTATGTTCCTATAGTACTTCACCACCGTGTTACATGGCTCTCTATGTTCCTATAGTAATTCACCACTGTGTTACATGGCTCTCTATGTTCCTATAGAACCTCACCATCGTGTTACATGGCTCTCTATGTTCCTATAGTACTTCACCACCGTGTTACATGGCTCTCTATGTTCCTATAGTACCTCACCACCGTGTTACATGGCTCTCTATGTTCCTATAGTACCTCACCACCGTGTTACATGGCTCTCTATGTTCCTATAGTACCTCACCACCGTGTTACATGGCTCTCTATGTTCCTATTGTACTTCAGCACCGTGTTACATGGCTCTCTATGTTCCTTTAGTACTTCACAACGGTGTTACATGGCTCTCTATGTTCCTATAGTACTTCAACACCATGTTACATGGCTCTCTATGTTCCTTTAGTACTTCACCACGGTGTTACATGGCTCTCTATGTTCCTATAGTACTTCACCACCGTGTTACATGGCTCTCTATGTTCCTATAGTACCTCACCACCGTGTTACATGGCTCTCTATGTTCCTATAGTACTTCACCACCGTGTTACATGGCTCTCTATGTTCCTATAGTACTTCACCACCGTGTTACATGGCTCTCTATGTTCCTATAGTACTTCACCACCGTGTTACATGGCTCTCTATGTTCCTATAGTATCTCACCATCGTGTTACATGGCTCTCTATGTTCCTATAGTACTTCACCACCGTGTTACATGGCTCTCTATGTTCCTATAGTACTTCACCACCGTGTTACATGGCTCTCTATGTTCCTACAGTACCTCACCACTGTGTTACATGGCTCTCTATGTTCCTATAGTACTTCACCACCGTGTAACATGGCTCTCTATGTTCCTATAGTATCTCGCCATCGTGTTACATGGCTCTCTATGTTCCTATAGTACCTCACCACTGTGTTACATGGCTCTCTATGTTCCTTTAGTACTTCACCACCCTGTTACATGGCTCTCTATGTTCCTATAGTACTTCACCACTGTGTTACATGGCTCTCTATGTTCCTATAGTACTTCACCACAGTGTGACATGGCTCTCTATGTTCCTATAGTACCTCACCACTGTGTTACATGGCTCTCTATGTTCCTATAGTACTTCACCACCATGTTACATGGCTCTCCATGTTCCTATAGTACTTCACCACCGTGTAACATGGCTCTCTATGTTCCTATAGTACTTCACCACCGTGTAACATGGCTCTCTATGTTCCTATAGTACTTCACCACCGTGTAACATGGCTCCTCTCTATGTTCCTATAGTACTTCACCACCGTGTTACATGGCTCTCTATGTTCCTATAGTACTTCACCACCGTGTTACATGGCTCTCTATGTTCCTATAGTACTTCACCACCGTGTTACATGGCTCTCTATGTTCCTATAGTACCTCACCATCGTGTTACATGGCTCTCTATGTTCCTATAGTACCTCACCATCGTGTTACATGGCTCTCTATGTTCCTATTGTACTTCACCACCGTGTTACATGGCTCTCTATGTTCCTATAGTACCTCACCACCATGTTACATGGCTCTCTATGTTCCTATAGTACCTCACCATCGTGTTACATGGCTCTCTATGTTCCTATAGTACTTCACCACCGTGTTACATGGCTCTCTATGTTCCTATAGTACTTCACCACCGTGTTACATGGCTCTCTATGTTCCTATAGTACTTCACCACCGTGTTACATGGCTCTCTATGTTCCTATAGTACCTCACCACCATGTTACATGGCTCCTCTCTATGTTCCTATAGTACTTCACCACCGTGTTACATGGCTCCCCTCTATGTTCCTATAGTACTTCACCACCATGTTACATGGCTCCTCTCTATGTTCCTATAGTACTTCACCACCGTGTTACATGGCTCTCTATGCTCCTATAGTACCTCACCACCGTGTTACATGGCTCTCTATGTTCCTAGTGTACCTCACCACCGTGTTACATGGCTCTCTATGTTCCTATAGTACTTCACCACCGTGTTACATGGCTCTCTATGTTCCTATAGTACTTCACCACCGTGTTACATGGCTCTCTATGTTCCTATAGTATCTCACCATCGTGTTACATGGCTCTCTATGTTCCTATAGTACTTCACCACCGTGTTACATGGCTCTCTATGTTCCTATAGTACTTCACCACCGTGTTACATGGCTCCTCTCTATGTTCCTATTGTACTTCACCACCGAGCCGGTCCTGACTAGGGGTACACAGACAAACACACAATGTACAGATGGCTCACTGAGTCTGTCCTGACTGTAGGGGTACACAGACAAACATACAACCTACAGATGGCTCACCGAGTCGGTCCTGACTGTAGGGGTACACAGACAAACACACAACCTACAGATGGCTCACCGAGTCTGTCCTGACTGTAGGGGTACACAGACAAACACACAACCTACAGATTGCTCACTGAGTCTGTCCTGACTGTAGGGGTACACAGACAAACACACAACCTACAGATGGCTCACCGAGCCGGTCCTGACTGTAGGGGTACACAGACAAACACACAACCTACAGATGGCTCACCGAGTCGGTCCTGACTGTTGGGATACACAGACAAACACACAACGTACACATGGCTCACCGAGTCTGTCCTGACTGTAGGGTACACAGACAAACACACAACGTACAGATGGCTCACTGAGTCTGTCCTGACTGTAGGGGTACACAGACAAACACACAACCTACAGATGGCTCACCGAGTCGGTCCTGACTGTAGGGGTACACAGACAAACATACAACCTACAGATGGCTCACCGAGTCTGTCCTGACTGTAGGGGTACACAGACAAACACACAACCTACAGATGGCTCACCGAGTCGGTCCTGACTAGGGGTTCACAGACAAACACAAAACCTACAGATGGCTCACCAAGCCGGTCCTGACTGTAGGGGTACACAGACAAACACACAACCTACAGATGGCTCACCGAGTCGGTCCTGACTGTAGGGGTACACAGACAAACACACAACGTACAGATGGCTCACTGAGTCTGTCCTGACTGTAGGGGTACACAGACAAACACACAACCTACAGATGGCTCACCGAATCGGTCCTGACTGTAGGGGTACACAGACAAACATACAACCTACAGATGGCTCACCGAGTCTGTCCTGACTGTAGGGGTACACAGACAAACATACAACCTACAGATGGCTCATCGAGTCTGTCCTGACTGTAGGGGTACACAGACAAACACACAACCTACAGATGGCTCACCGAGCCGGTCCTGACTGTAGGGGTACACAGACAAACACACAACCTACAGATGGCTCACCGAGTCGGTCCTGACTGTAGGGATACACAGACAAACATACAACCTACAGATGGCTCACTGAGCCGGTCCTGACTGTAGGGGTACACAGACAAACATACAACCTACAGATGGCTCACCGAGTCTGTCCTGACTGTAGGGGTACACAGACAAACACACAACCTACAGATGGCTCACCGAGTCTGTCCTGACTGTAGGGGTACACAGACAAACACACAACCTACAGATGGCTCACCAAACCGGTCCTGACTGTAGGGGTACACAGACAAACACACAACCTACAGATGGCTCACCGAGTCTGTCCTGACTGTAGGGGTACACAGACAAACACACAACCTACAGATGGCTCACCAAACCGGTCCTGACTGTAGGGGTACACAGACAAACACACAACCTACAGATGGCTCACCGAGTCGGTCCTGCTGCTGGGTGATCAGGTCGTACACCTCGAAGTCCTGCATCACATGATCGAACACGAAGTTGCTGTCAATGTCCATCAGAGTGATGTCCGCACCACTCCCTAGCAACAGCTTCACAAGCTCTATGTTGTCATGGTAACATGCGATGTGTAACGGCGTCCACCAGTCATCATCTCTTGCATTCACGTCCGCACCTTGGCCAATCAAAACCTGCGCTGCCCTTGCATTACCCACCATGCAACACTGACAGGAAATACAAGCATAACAATAATATGACAAACTCACAAATCATTTAGAGCGTCTGACAACAGTTTATTTTGTGCAGGACATTCCTTGATAAGAATAACTATTGGTATTTTGGAATCAGTGAATGTCCTGAATCAACCTGAACCTCTGTTTACTGAGAGGACTTTGCCAAAATCTTTTTTTCTGACTATTTGGGCGAAACATTGGTGATGTGATTACAACTCTGTCTGGTTCACCAGTCTTGTGTTTACAGAAGCAACACCTGGAGGTGAGCCGCACTTCCTACCTTGTGCAGAAGTGTTGTGTTGTTGGCAGTGGTGAAGTTGACGTCAGCCCCAAGCTTCACAAGGCTGTCAACTGGAAAGAGAGGACACAAAACATCTTCTTTATAGCACAACAGATGCTTTCTATAGCACAACTTAAACACTCTAGAGCACAACCCAAACCCTCTACAGCACAAGTGGTTGACTTACCCTCTCTGTCATTAAACCTCTCGATGGCTGTCTGTAGTTGGTGGTTGAATTACCCTCTCTGTCATTAAAACTCTCGATGGCTGTCTGTAGTTGGTGGTTGACTTACCCTCTCTGTCATTAAAACTCTCGATGGCTGTCTTTAGTTGGTGGTTGACTTACCCTCTCTGTCATTAAAACTCTCGATGGCTGTCTGTAGTTGGTGGTTGACTTACCCTCTCTGTCCTTAAAACTCTCGATGGCTGTCGGTAGCAAGTGGTTGACTTACCCTCTCTGTCATTAAAACTCTCGATGGCTGTCTGTAACAAGCGGTTGACTTACCCTCTCTGTCATTAAAACTCTCGATGGCTGTCTGTAGTTGGTGGTTGACTTACCCTCTCTGTCATTAAAACTCTCGATGGCTGTCTGTAGCAAGCGGTTGACTTACCCTCTCTGTCATTAAAACTCTCGATGGCTGTCTTTAGTTGGTGGTTGACTTACCCTCTCTGTCATTAAAACTCTCGATGGCTGTCTGTAGTTGGTGGTTGACTTACCCTCTCTGTCATTAGAACTCTCGATGGCTGTCTGTAGTTGGTGGTTGACTTACCCTCTCTGTCGTTAAAACTCTCGATGGCTGTCTGTAGTTGGTGGTTGACACTGAACTGGACTGTGGTGTTCTTCTTGTTGGGTCTGCTTGTTACCGGGGGTCGACCCTGCTCTGCCAGGAAGTGCACATAGTTCTCGATCTGCTGTTGTCGGATCTGTTTACAGACCTTCAGCCGCTCATGTTGGGGCAGCGCCTCCAGGCTAGTCTGGTCAATCCCGAACGTCATCCTCCTGTCTGGGGAGTATGTACAATATATGTACAACACTGTCTATATCTGTACAACAGTCTATATCTGTACAACACAGTCTATATATGTACAACAGTTTATATCTGTACAACAGTCTATATCTGTACAACACAGTCTATATCTGTATAACACAGTCTATATCTGTACAACACAGTCTATATCTGTACAACACAGTCTATATATGTACAACAGTCTATATCTGTATAACACAGTCTATATCTGTACGACACAGTCTATATCTGTACAACACAGTCTATATCTGTACAACACAGTCTATATATGTACAACAGTCTAAATCTGTATAACACAGTCTATATCTGTACAACACAGTCTATATCTGTACAACACAGTCTATATCTGTACAACAGTCTATATCTGTACAACATAGTCTATATCTGTACAACAGTCTATATCTGTCCAACACAGTCTATATCTGTACAACAGTCTATATCTGTACAACACAGTCTATAACTGTACAACACAGTCTATATCTGTACAACACATTCTATATCTGTACAACAGTCTATATCTGTACAAGTCTATATCTGTACAACACAGTCTATATCTGTACAAGTCTATATCTGTACAACAGTCTATATCTGTACAACACAGTCTATATCTGTACAACACAGTCTATATCTGTACAAGTCTATATCTGTATAACACAGTCTATATCTGTACAACACAGTCTAAATCTGTACAACAGTATAAATCTGTACAACACAGTCTATATCTGTACAACACAGTCTATATCTGTACAACACAGTCTATATCTGTACAACATAGTCTATATGTGTACAACACAGTCTATATGTGTACAACACAGTCTATATCTGTACAACACAGTCTATATCTGTACAACACAGTCTATATGTGTACAACAGTCCATATCTGTACAACACAGTCTATATCTGTACAACAGTCTCTATCTGTACAACACAGTCTATATCTGTACAACACAGTCTATATCTGTACAACACAGTCTATATGTGTACAACACAGTCTATATTTGTACAACAGTCTATATCTGTACAACAGTCTATATCTGTACAAAATAGTCTATATCTGTACAACACAGTCTATATCTGTACAACACAGTCTATATCTGTACAACACAGTCTATATATGTACAACAGTCTATATCTGTATAACACAGTCTATATCTGTACAACACAGTCTATATCTGTACAACAGTCTAAATCTGTACAACAGTATAAATCTGTACAACACAGTCTATATCTGTACAACACAGTCTATATCTGTACAACACAGTCTATATCTGTACAACACAGTCTTTATCTGTACAACACAGTCTTTATCTGTACAACACTGTCTATATCTGTACAACACAGTCTATATCTGTACAACACAGTCTATCTGTACAACAGTCTATATCTGTACAACACAGTCTATCTGTACAACACAGTCTATATCTGTACAACACAGTCTATATCTGTCCAACACAGTCTATATCTGTACAACAGTCTATATCTGTACAACACAGTCTATAACTGTACAACACAGTCTATATCTGTACAACACAGTCTATATCTGTACAACACAGTCCATATCTGTACAACACAGTCTATATCTGTACAACAGTCTATATCTGTACAACAGTCTATATCTGTACAACACAGTCTATATCTGTACAACACAGTCTATATCTGTACAACAGTCTATATCTGTAAAACAGTATATATATGTACAACACTGTCTATATCTGTACAACACTGTCTATATCTGTACAACACAGTCTATATCTGTACAACAGTCTATATCTGTACAACACAGTCTAGATGTGTACAACAGTCTATATCTGTACAACATAGTCTATATGTGTACAACACAGTCTATATCTGTACAACACAGTCTATATGTGTACAACAGTCCATATCTGTACAACACAGTCTATATCTGTACAACACAGTCTAGATGTGTACAACAGTCTATATCTGTACAACATAGTCTATATGTGTACAACACAGTCTATATCTGTACAACACAGTCTATATCTGTACAACACAGTCTATATGTGTACAACAGTCTATATCTGTACAACACAGTCTATATCTGTACAACAGTCTATATCTGTACAACACAGTCTATATGTGTACAACACAGTCTATATCTGTACAACAGTCTATATCTGTACAACACAGTCTATATCTGTACAACAGTCTATATCTAACCAGACATTGTGTGTGTCCTGCGAGGCATGTTTTAGGGCAGATCCGTACTACACTGTAGTACCCACTCAATGCCTATTCAAATAAATCCCTTTTGATCCTACAAGAACTCCCCTATCATTGAGATGACCATGAGTAACTGTGTTACAGTGACGTACGGAGGAACAAGAGTGAGTAGAGAAGTAATTACACAAGTAATTACACAAGTAATTACAGAAGTGAGTACAGATGTACCAAAGTACAGATGGATTACCAAGTGAGAGAAGACAAGCATGGGGTACGAGGGACCGGAACGGAATACCCACAGGGAGACAAGCATGGGGTACTGGGGACCGGCCTGGAATACCCACAGGTAGACAAGCATGGGGTACGAGGGACTGGAACAGAATACCCACAGGGAGACAAGCATTGGGTACTGGGGACCGGCCTGGAACACCCACAGGGAGACAAGCATGGGGTACTGGGGACCAGAACGGAATACTCACAGGGAGACAAACATGGGGTACTGGGGACCGGCCTGGAATACCCACAGGGAGACAAGCATGGGGTCCTGGTGACCAGAACGGAATACCCACAAGCATGGGGTCCTGGGGACCGGCCTGGAATACCCACAGGGAGACAAGCATGGGGTACTGGGGACTGACCAGGAATACCCACAGGGAGACAAGCATGGGGTACTGGGGACCAGAACGGAATACCCACAGGGAGACAAGCATGGGGTACTAGGGACCGGCCTGGAATACCCACAGGGAGACAAGCATGGGGTACTGGGGACCAGAACGGAATACCCACAGGGAGACAAGCATGGGGTACGAGGGACCGGAACAGAATACCCACAGGGAGACAAGCATGGGGTATGAGGGACCGGAACGGAATACCCACAGGGAGACAAGCATGGGGTACTGGGGACCGGCCTGGAGTACCCACAGGGAGACAAGCATGGGGTACTGGGGACCAGAACGGAATACCCACAGGGAGACAAGCATGGGGTACTAGGGACCGGCCTGGAATACCCACAGGGAGACAAGCATGGGGTACTGGGGACCAGAACGGAATACCCACAGGGAGACAAGCATGGGGTACGAGGGACCGGAACAGAATACCCACAGGGAGACAAGCATGGGGTACGAGGGACCGGAACGGAATACCCACAGGGAGACAAGCATGGGGTACTGGGGACCGGCCTGGAGTACCCACAGGGAGACAAGCATGGGGTACTAGGGACCGGAACGGAATACCCACAGGGAGACAAGCATGGGGTACGAGGGACCGGCCTGGAATGCCAACAGGGAGACAAGCATGGGGTACTGGGGACCGGCCTGGAATAGCCACAGGGAGACAAGCATGGGGTACGAGGGACTGGCCTGGAATACCCACAGGGAGACAAGCATGTGGTACTGGGGACCGGCCTGGAATACCCACAGGGAGACAAGCATGGGGTATGAGGGACCGGAACGGAATACCCACAGGGAGACAAGCATGGGGTATGAGGGACCGGAACGGAATACCCACAGGGAGACAAGCATGGGGTACTGGGGACCGGCCTGGAATACCCACAGGGAGACAAGCATGGGGTACTGGGGACCGGCCTGGAATACCCACAGGGAGACAAGCATGGGGTATGAGGGACCGGAACGGAATACCCACAGGGAGACAAGCATGGGGTACTGGGGACCGGCCTGGAATACCAACAGGGAGACAAGCATGGGGTATGAGGGACCGGAACGGAATACCCACAGGGAGACAAGCATGGGGTACTGGGGACCGGCCTGGAATACCCACAGGGAGACAAGCATGGGGTACTGGGGACCAGAACGGAATACCCACAGGGAGACAAGCATGGGGTACTGGGGACCGGCCTGGAATACCCACAGGGAGACAAGCATGGGGTACTGGGGACCTGCCTGGAATACCCACAGGGAGACAAGCATGGGGTACTGGGGACCAGAACGGAATACCCACAGGGAGACAAGCATGGGGTACTGGGGACCGGCCTGGAATGCCCACAGGGAGACAAGCATGTGGTACTGGGGACCGGCCTGGATTACCCACAGGGAGACAAGCATGGGGTACTGGGGACCGGCCTGGAATACCCACAGGGAGACAAGCATGGGGTACTGGGGACTGACCAGGAATATCAGCCTTGACTTTTGACAAGAGTGGAATACGGAGCTACTAGTGGTGTGGATGACAGGGCAGGGGTCCTCAGGTAATGGCAACTGTGAGGTATGTGTGGACTGGTGTGACACATGATACCCAGGCAGGCGATACACTGGTCACTGTTCCCAAGCTGAAACCTCGACTTGCTGTATACCATCATCATGTACAGGTGGTTAATAAGCAATGGAAGTTTCTTCTGCATACAGCATACATATAAATCTGCACAGACCTATAAAGACCTACAAAGCCCTATATAGATCTAAAGACCTTTTTAGATCTACAGACTTACACAGACCTATATAGATCCAGACCTAAACAGGCCTATATAGATCTAGACCTACATAGATTTACAGACATGCAGACATATATAGATCTAAAGACCTATATAGACCTATACACATCTACAGGCCTATATAGACCTACACAGACCTATTAAGATCTACACAGGCCTCTAGAGACCTTCACAGAGCTATGTAGATCTAGACAGACCTATATAGACCTACACATACTTATATAGACCTACACAGACCTATGTAGATCTAAACAGATCTATATATACCTACATAGACCTATATATACCTACATAGACCTATATATACCTACATAGATCTATATATACCTACATAGACCTATATCTACACAGCCCTATATAGATCTAAAGACCTTTTTAGATCTACAGACTTACACAGACCTATATAGATCCAGACCAACACAGGCCTATATAGATCTACAGACCTAAATAGATTTACAGACCTACAGACATATATGGATCTAAAGAGCTATATAGACCTATACAGATTTACAGACCTTTATAGACCTACACAGACCTATAAAGATCTACACATGCCTCTAGAGACCTTCACAGACCTATGTAGATCTAAACAGACCTATATATACCTACATAGACCTATATATACCTACATAGACCTATATATATCTGTATAGACCTATATATACCTATTAACACTCAGACATATATATAAACACACCACACATGCCCAGCCCAGGCAGACCTATGCAGGCACATACATAGACAAACAGTTGCCCATACAGACAGACACATATAGACTGTACAGACCTATGCAGGCACATACATAGACAAACAGCTGCCCATACAGACAGACACATATAGACTGTACAGACCTATGCAGGCACATACATAGACAAACAGTTGCCCATACAGACAGACACATATAGACTGTACAGACCTATAAGACCCAAAATAGATCAATATTGACCTATATCTATATAGACCACTACACTGACCTATTCAGACCCAAGGAGAAACGTCTGGTATGTACACAGTCACTCTACGTCAACACATACTACAGCACAATGACAGTCACTCTACGTCAACACATACTACAGCACAATGACACTTACAGCGACCGTTTGTCCGCCAGGTATTGTCGCACGGTATATTCCACCTGTTTGGTGTATGTCGTCTTCTCGCTGTCTTCCCGTGTATGACAACTGTGTCTGCGTGATGTGGGGGGGACTGACAGTGGCTGGAGAACGTGACGGAGTCTGCTAGCTGTGTGGTAATCTGTACATGCCTTCGTGTTGACGTTTACCTGTGTTGATATTCCTCAATGATTCATGTGGATATTTATTTGCACATGCGCAAATGACATCGATACTGTTATGGAGCGGATGGACGGCGGGGCCCTGTTAGGGTTGTGTGTCAGGGTTTTCGTGCCAAGGTCTCTCTCTCTCTCTCTCTCTCTCTCTCTATGAGTGAGACAGTAAATGGTGGATTACACTCAACACTGCACAGCGAATTGCAGACTGAGCGAGATGTGCCGGAGTGAGTGAGTGAGTGACTTGTCCTCTTCAGTAATCTGGACTGAGCGGGGTACACAACACACGTGGACGCTATGTATGGTGACGTCTTGGCGACACGTGGACGCTATGTATGGTGACGTCTTGGCGACACGGGATCAGGTTACACAGCACACGTGGACGCTATGTATGGTGACGTCTTGGCAACACGTGGACGCTATGTATGGTGACGTCTTGGCGACACGTGGACGCTAAGTATGGTGACGTCTTGGCGACACGTGGACGCTATGTATGGTGACGTCTTGGCAACACGTGGACGCTAAGTATGGTGACGTCTTGGCGACACGTGGACGCTATGTATGGTGACGTCTTGGCGACACGTGGACGCTATGTATGGTGACGTCTTGGCGACACGTGATCAGGGTACACAACACACGTGGACGCTATGTATGGTGACGTCTTGGCGACACGTGATCAGGGTGCACAACACACGTGGACGCTATGTATGGTGACGTCTTGGCGACACGTGATCAGGGTGAACAACACACGTGGACGCTATGTATGGTGACGTCTTGGCGACACGTGATCAGGGTGCACAACACACGTTGACGCTATGTATGGTGACGTCTTGGCGACACGTGGACGCTATGTATGGTGACGTCTTGGCGACACGTGATCAGGGTACACAACACACGTGGACGCTATGTATGGTGACGTCTTGGCGACACGTGATCAGGGTGCACAACACACGTTGACGCTATGTATGGTGACGTCTTGGCGACACGTGGACGCTATGTATGGTGACGTCTTGGCGACACGTGATCAGGGTACACAACACACGTGGACGCTATGTATGGTGACGTCTTGGCGACACGTGATCAGGGTACACAACACACGTGGACGCTATGTATTGTGACGTCTTGGCGACATCGATCAATCTGAGACAGAGACACTATTCATATGAATCTCTGTATCTTGTTTGTAAGTGGATGTTGATCAGAGGCCTTTCACGTGTAGTAGACAGTAGTTCTGTATATAGTGATCATGTTTTATTAAATAGCTGTTTTACTTCAGTATGTCGCCAATAACGTTATTTTGTATATTTCAGACACTGCCGTAACTAACAATTATTTATTATACAAAATATATTTTTCATTTCAGGCTGCACAAGATATTTAAGTAGTTGTATGTCAAGTATTAGCATTGTCAAATTTTACTAAGTGGGTCTGTCAACTTCTTGGTGGTTAATCAGCGTGCAAGCCGGGGTGTCTTCTTGATTGGCTAGTTTTAAATCTCAGTGTCCTACTTTTAAAACCCTTTGTTTTCACCCCTGCACTGTGCACTGGACCGGGAAAAAGATAGGAATAGTATTTAAAGGTTAGTAATTATATTTTTGTGTTCTATTTATGCCAGTATAACATATAAACTACTTAAGGTAAATAAATGCCTATATATCCTTAGTTATCGCAACACCCAGATATGTAATCTGTCAAGTGACCATGTTGACATATATATACAGAGGCAATCTTGAAATGAAAATTATGGCATGTTCTGTCCTCCATACCAGTCATGATGAGATGCATGTCGAGTCCGGTCTACGGCACAAGGAAAGCATGCAACGTGAAAATCATGTTTTGGAGATCTGTCCCTGTTTTGAGTAAAGGTTACAAGGCATTGTTTCCACTGTCAGAATTTAGCAATGGGTCCTCGACAACTCAGTACGGCAAAAGATGGCAAGTTATTGGCATGATCATTGCCGGTATGTCAGTGAGAGAGATTGCAAGGCAGCTGGGTCACCATCCTTCAACCATTAGTCGATTGTTACGAAAGCATCATCAGACTAATGATGCCAAGGACCGTCAACGTCCTGGTAGACCACGCTGTACGTCAGCAAGAGAGGATGCAGCACTTATGAGGATTGTACGGCGGTTTCCTTTTGCACCAAGCACTGTTCTGAAAAGGGAGTGGTTACCTCACCGTAGCATATGCCACAGAACTGTCCGTAATCGACTTAAAGATGCTGGATATCGTGCCAGGAGACCTGTCAGAAGACCTCTGTTGTCACGTGAACACAAGGCAGCCCGATTGGCATGGTGTCGAAAACGTAATCACTGGAATATTGCGTTATGGCGGAAAATCCATTGGTCTGACGAGAATCGCTTTCTGTTGTTCATGTCAGATGGTAGAGCACGTGTTTGGCGACGTAATACGATGGCATATGCTGAGAGGAACATTCTGGAACAAGTTCCATTTGGCGGCGGCTCTGTTATGATCTGGGGCTGCTTGTCATATGACTGCAAGCTGCCACTGGTAACCATGGTAACAGTGAGAGGCAAATCCTTGACAGGGTTGTAGTGCCTCATTTTGACACTCATGCTCTAAACACAAGGCCAGTCTTCATGGATGATAACGCGCGACCACACCGTCACTACCTGTGGCTGTCACTACCCTACCTTGGCCAGCCAGAAGCCCAGACCTCAATCCCATCGAGCTGATCTGGGACATTCTTGGACGTAAAATCTGTCAGAGGGAGCCACCAGTGCAGAATGTTGATGAATTGGAACAGGCACTACACCAGGAGTGGAACATTCTCACACAGGAACAGATCAGACGAGTCATTAGGTCAATGAGGAGGAGGTTTCAACAGGTGATTCAAGCTGGAGGAGGTTACACCAGATACTGACATTTTTCACTGTTTTGCAAACTCCATGAACTTTCCGAGGATGACATGAATGGAAATTGACTTATGAATTCAGATAGACCTGTTCTAGTCATAGTGTTTCGCACTGGATATTTTCCATTGTTTTGGTCTTTTTGGTAACTCACCATGAACACATTACGATCTTTACCGACAATTTCATTCCAACGTTTTCTTATTGTTTAATATTTGGTCTACAAAGAACACTGAGACATTATTGGTTTACACACGTAATATAGCGATCGCATCGAATCAAACACCAGCAGTATAATCAAATAGGGTTGTTGCGATACTTTTTTTTCTGTGTATATTTAAACATGTCACATATACTGGTATCAGTGTGTACATGGCGAGTGTATGATTTCTGGATCTGTTTCATGTCACTTTATGTGTGTCTGTGTTGATCTAGGACATTTGTGTCTTCAGCAGCTTGTAATGTTTATTAACAATTTAATAATAATTTAGATGTAATGTTTACGTGTGTAAATAGTAATGTCTTTTATGATGTATTGTATATTATGAACATCATATCACGAGGGATTCAGTCATTAACCATCCAGATACACCCTAGATGGGTGCACCGGGTATATGTACTTACATACACAAAGAAAAAGGTTAAGCACACCCCTATTTCTGAACCATGACATATGGCAAAAATCATGGCATGGGATGACTGACCACAGGCGCTGGGCGATACCAATGTCATCGGATAGAACAAACATCTGACAACAAACAAAGAAGATATTGGTGAGTTTTTGAACCTAGACAATACCTAAAAAAGTATGGAGCTGCAGGATGAAGTAAACGAGTCACCTTAGATGTTTCATGTGAAAATGTTCCTTAACGTCTCTACTTGTCATGACACCTGAAACAGATCAGTAGCGGGTATAACCGCCACGTGCCCGGATGACGCATTCCATCCTACGTCTCATGCCTCCAGTCAGACGTTGGATCTGTTGATGGGTCAACCACAACCACTCCTGATGCAATGCTGCTTCCAATTGGCGTAAATCTTGTACAGTAGGATCTCGTGCCTGTATGCGCCCCCCCCCCCCCCCCCAGCATATCCCAAACATGTTCAAGGGGGTTCAAATCTGGGATCATTGCTGGCCAGGGTAGAGTCGTTATTGCATTGGCCCTCATGTAATCCACGACTGCATGCGAACGATGTGGCCTGGCATTGTCATCCATGTACTGAGGTCTAGTAGCAAGAGGTTGGTTGTCAAAATGAGGAATGACGACTGGCCTGAAAATGTCCCGGATGTACTGAGCCCCTGTTAAGTTGGCCCTTATGGTGACCAAATCCTACCTGTAATCATGAAAGATACACCCCCAAAACATTACCGAGCCCCCGCCGTATGCAACAGTATGTGTAGATGCAAGAACACAAAAAATCTGACGAGGTGACGAGGTTAAGAAAACTACAATACAAAGTAAAAGAAATTAAGTTTTTGACATTTCTTAAAATGTATGCATTAATTTCACTTTTTCAACTCAAGAGTGAGTGAGTGAGTTGGGTTTAACGCCGCTTTTAACAGTATTCCAGTTATATCGCGGCGTGTCAGCTTAATGTGGGAGGAAAGCCCGAAGTGATGCAGGTCTCAGACGTTTACCACTTCGGTGAAACCCACGAGCACGGGCATGGTGCTGACAAAGCTAGAAACATAATCGGGGCGAACCGGGATTCAAACCCACAATCATAGGTTTCTGGCGTGCCCAAGGGACGCAACTCTGCACAGCGAATCGCGGCGCCTTAGACGACTGGGCCACCCGTGCCACCTTCAACTCAAGATGTACAATAGCATATAAATGCATTTACCTATCATCACAAAATGTCAGAAATACAACAAAAAAACTTACATTTGTGCTCCAACATACTTTCATACAGACTGTGACAATCGGCAGGCAACATGGAGGATCACACAGCACATGTACATCTAATACAGGGAGATTGTGTGCTCACACCCGATCACATGACAGGAAGAAGTGAAACTGAGGCTTCAATATACATTTCAGATTATACAAAAAACTCATTGCTGAAACTTGGGTGTGAACTCACAACCAGCAACCTTCTGGAATTCAAGTCTACATCTATATCCACTGGACCACAGAGAAGCATGAGAGCTCCTGAACAAATTAACATCATAAACCTCATCAATAGAAAAAAACCTTTCATCTTTGCATATTCAGTATGTTCTTTGGGGTGTAGGCCGTGTTTCGGTGCCTCCAAACTCTCGTTCTTCCATCAGTAACGTGGAGCAGAAAGCGACTTTCGTTTGACCGATGGATCCGTCTCCAAGTTCTCAGATTCAAGTTCTGTCGCATAATACACCATGCTAAACGACCAGCTTTGTGGTGATCCCTCAACAATGACTAGCCCTCAGTCCTGGCGGTTCTGGTGCTGAAACGACGATTGGGAAACCGCAGCTGTTTCAGACGAGTACTTGTTAAAAAAGGGTTCTCGGCGTATGAGACGATGAAGGTCCCTGTCTTCGCGATGTGTCGTCACAGGAGGTCTTCCGGATCTGGGACGGACCTGTACATCACCCGTCTGAGCATGTTTCTCGACTAAACGGCTTTCGACATTGTAATGATACCCGAAATTCCGACCAATGGCTTTACAAGACATTCCTGCGTTATGCATTCCGATTATTTTCCATCTTGTGGCGTTTGATAATCGCCTTCGTGCCATGGTCACACAATGTCATGGAATAACTGTGTCAAACCGAGCTTAAGAAAGCAGTTTTAACGTTTGGATGTACTGCTTTTAGAGATACTCGAGGATAGCATGCTGCACGGGTATACCATGCATGGCACGTGAGCTTTCGTCACGCATGACTGATTACATCATCGCGAGAAAATTCTTCCCGTAATCCCATAATCTTTCATGATATCGGTATCTGTAGCCAACCCCAACAGGGCCCCCGTCTTACGCTGGCGGCAGGATATGCATGACTGAGCCTCAACTAGTAAGATGACTCGGGTGGCCACGGTCTAATTATAGCACGTCGTGACAATACTCTCCGGTAGGAAGCGTCTGTCATTTTGCGTATGTGGAATCACAGGCCACGACCAGGAAGTGTTACACATGTGTCACCGGGGACTGACGGGAGGGTAGGGACTGTGTTGATGAGAGGGTGGGGACTGTGTTGACGGGAAGGGTGGGGACTGTGTTGACGGGAGTTTGGGGACTGTGTTGACGGGAAGGGTCGGTGACAGTGTTGACGGGAGGGGTTGGGGACTGTGTTGACGGGAGTTTGGGGACTGTGTTGCCGGAAGGGGTTGAGGACTGTATTGACGGGAAGGGTCAGGGACTGTGTTGACGGGAAGGGTCGGGGACTGTGTTGACGGGAAGGGTCGGGGACTGTGTTGAGGGGAAGAGTCGTGGACTGTGTTGACGAGAAGGGTCGGGGACTGTGTTGACGGGAAGAGTTGGGAACTGTGTTGACGGGAAGAGTCGTGGACTGTGTTGACGAGAAGGGTCGGGGACTGTGTTGACGGTAAGGGTTGGGAACTGTGTTGACGGGAAGGGTTGGGAACTGTGTTAACGGGAAGAGTCGTGGACTGTGTTGACGAGAAGGGTCGGGGACTGTGTTGACGGGAAGGGTCGGGGACTGTGTTGATGAGAGGGGTCGGGGACTGTGTTGACGGGAAGGGTCGGGGACTGTGTTGACGGGAAGGGTCGGGAACTGTGTTGTCGGGAAGAGTCGTGGACTGTGTTGACGAGAAGGGTCGGGGACTGTGTTGACGGGAAGAGTCGTTGACTGTGTTGACGAGAGGGGTGGGGGACTGTGTTGATGAGAGGGGAGGGGACTGTGTTGACGGGAAGGGTCGGGGACTGTGTTGACGGGAAGTGTCGGGGACCGTGTTGACGGGAAGAGTCGTGGACTGTGTTGACGAGAAGGGTCGGGGACTGTGTTGACGGGAAGGGTCGGGGACTGTGTTGACGTGAAGGGTGGGGGACTGTGTTGATGAGAGGGGAGGGGACTGTGTTGATGAGAGGGGAGGGCACTGTGTTGATGGGAGGGGTGGGGACTGTGTTGATGAGAGGGGTCGGGGACTCTGTTGACGGGAAGGGTCGTGGACTGTTGACGTGAAAGGTGGGGGACTGTGTTGATGAGAGGGGTGGGGGACTGTGTTGATGAGAGGGGAGGGGACTGTGTTGATGGGAGGGGTGGGGACTGTGTTGATGAGTGGGGTCGGGGACTGTGTTGATGAGAGGGGTCGGGGACTGTGTTGACGGGAAGGGTTGGGAACTGTGTTGACGGGAAGGGTCGGGAACTGTGTTGACGGGAAGAGTCGTGGACTGTGTTGACGAGAAGGGTCGGTGACTGTGTTGATGGGAAGGGTCGGGGACTGTGTTGATGAGAGGGGAGGGGACTGTGTTGACGGGAAGGGTCGGGAACTGTTGACGTGAAGGGTGGGGACTGTGTTGATGAGAGGGGAGGGGACTGTGTTGATGAGAGGGGAGGGGACTGTGATGATGAGAGGGGAGGGGACTGTGTTGATGAGAGGGGAGGGGACTGTGTTGATGACAGGGGAGGGGACTGTGTTGACGAGAGGGGTGGGAGACTGTGTTGACGGGAAGGGTCGGGGACTGTGTTGACGGGAAGGGTCGGGGACTGTGTTGACGGGAAAAGTCGTGGACTGTGTTGACGGGAAGAGTCTTGGACTGTGTTGACGGGAAGAGTCGGGGACTGTGTTGACGGGAAGGGTCGGGGACTGTGTTGACGGGAAAAGTCTTGGACTGTGTTGACGGGAAGAGTCTTGGACTGTGTTGACGGGAAAAGTCGGGGACTGTGTTGACGGGAAGGGTCGGGGACTGTGTTGACTGGAAAAGTCTTGGACTGTGTTGACGGGAAGAGTCGTGGACTGTGTTGACGGGAAGAGTCGGGGACTGTGTTGACGGGAAGGGTCGGGGACTGTGTTGACGGGAAAAGTCGTGGACTGTGTTGACGGGAAGAGTCTTGGACTGTGTTGACGGGACAAGTCGGGGACTGTGTTGACGGGAAGGGTCGGGAACTGTGTTGACGGGAAAAGTCGGGGACTGCGTTGACGGGAAGGGTCGGTAACTGTGTTGACGGGAAGAGTCTTGGCCTATGTTGACGAGAAGGGTCGGGGACTCTGTTGACGGGAAGGGTCGGGGACTGTGTTGATGAGAGGGGTGGGCACTGTGTTGATGTGAGGGTTGGGGACTGTGTTGATGAGAGGGGTCGGGGACTGTGTTGATGAGAGGGGTCGGGGACTATTGACGTGAAGGGTGGGGGACTGTGTTGATGAGAGGGGGGGGGACTGTGTTGACGAGAGGGGTGGGGGACTGTGTTGATGAGAGGGGAGGGGACTGTGTTGACGGGAAGGGTCGGGAACTGTTGACGTGAAGGGTGGGGACGGTGTTGATGAGAGGGGAGGGGACTGTGTTGCTGAGAGGGAAGGGGACTGTGATGATGAGAGGGGAGGGGACTGTGTTGATGAGGGGGGAGGGGACTGTGTTGATGACAGGGGAGGGGACTGTGTTGACGAGAGAGGTGGGAGACTGTGTTGACGGGAAGGGTCGGGGACTGTGTTGACGGGAAGAGTCGGGGACTGTGTTGACGGGAAGGGTCGGGGACTGTGTTGACGGGAAAGGTCTTGGACTGTGTTGACGGGAAGAGTCTTGGACTGTGTTGACGGGAAAAGTCGGGGACTGTGTTGACGGGAAGGGTCGGGGACTGTGTTGACGGGAAAAGTCTTGGACTGTGTTGACGGGAAGAGTCGTGGACTGTGTTGACGGGAAGAGTCGGGGACTGTGTTGACGGGAAGGGTCGGGAACTGTGTTGACGGGGAAAGTCGTGGACTGTGTTGACGGGAAGAGTCTTGGACTGTGTTGACGGGAAAAGTCGGGGACTGTGTTGACGGGAAGGGTCGGGAACTGTGTTGACGGGAAAAGTCGGGGACTGTGTTGACGGGAAGGGTCGGTAACTGTGTTGACGGGAAGGGTCGGGAACTGTGTTGATGAGAGGGGTCGGGGACTGTGTTGACGGGAAGGGTCGGGGACTGTGTTGACGGGAAGGGTCGGGAACTGTGTTGTCGGGAAGAGTCGTGGACTGTGTTGACGAGAAGGGTCGGGGACTGTGTTGACGGGAAGAGTCGTGGACTGTGTTGACGAGAGGGGTGGGGGACTGTGTTGATGAGAGGGGAGGGGACTGTGTTGACGGGAAGGGTCGGGGACTGTGTTGACGGGAAGTGTCGGGGACCGTGTTGACGGGAAGAGTCGTGGACTGTGTTGACGAGAAGGGTCGGGGACTGTGTTGACGGGAAGGGTCGGGGACTGTGTTGACGTGAAGGGTGGGGGACTGTGTTGATGAGAGGGGAGGGGACTGTGTTGATGAGAGGGGAGGGGACTGTGTTGATGGGAGGGGTGGGGACTGTGTTGATGAGAGGGGTCGGGGACTGTGTTGACGGGAAGGGTCGTGGACTGTTGACGTGAAGGGTGGGGGACTGTGTTGATGAGAGGGGTGGGGGGCTGTGTTGATGAGAGGGGAGGGGACTGTGTTGATGGGAGGGGTGGGGACTGTGTTGATGAGTGGGGTCGGGGACTGTGTTGATGAGAGGGGTCGGGGACTGTGTTGACGGGAAGGGTTGGGAACTGTGTTGACGGGAAGGGTCGGGAACTGTGTTGACGGGAAGAGTCGTGGACTGTGTTGACGAGAAGGGTCGGGGACTGTGTTGATGGGAAGGGTCGGGGACTGTGTTGATGAGAGGGGAGGGGACTGTGTTGACGGGAAGGGTCGGGAACTGTTGACGTGAAGGGTGGGGACTGTGTTGATGAGAGGGGAGGGGACTGTGATGATGACAGGGGAGGGGACTCTGTTGACGAGAGGGGTGGGAGACTGTGTTGACGGGAAGGGTCGGGGACTGTGTTGACGGGAAGGGTCGGGGACTGTGTTGACGGGAAAAGTCGTGGACTGTGTTGACGGGAAGAGTCTTGGACTGTGTTGACGGGAAGGGTCGGGGACTGTGTTGACGGGAAGGGTCGGGGACTGTGTTGACGGGAAAAGTCTTGGACTGTGTTGACGGGAAGGGTGTTGGACTGTGTTGACGGGAAAAGTCGGGGACTGTGTTGACGGGAAGGGTCGGGGACTGTGTTGACGGGAAAAGTCTTGGACTGTGTTGACGGGAAGAGTCGTGGACTGTGTTGACGGGAAGAGTCGGGGACTGTGTTGACGGGAAGGGTCGGGGACTGTGTTGACGGGAAAAGTCGTGGACTGTGTTGACGGGAAGAGTCTTGGACTGTGTTGACGGGACAAGTCGGGGACTGTGTTGACGGGAAGGGTCGGGAACTGTGTTGACGGGAAAAGTCGGGGACTGCGTTGACGGGAAGGGTCGGTAACTGTGTTGACGGGAAGAGTCTTTGACTATGTTGACGAGAAGGGTCGGGGACTCTGTTGACGGGAAGGGTCGGGGACTGTGTTGATGAGAGGGGTGGGCACTGTGTTGATGTGAGGGTTGGGGACTGTGTTGATGAGAGGGGTCGGGGACTGTGTTGATGAGAGGGGTCGGGGACTATTGACGTGAAGGGTGGGGGACTGTGTTGATGAGAGGGGGGGGGGGGGGGGCTGTGTTGATGAGAGGGGAGGGTACTGTGTTGACGAGAGGGGTGGGGGACTGTGTTGATGAGAGGGGAGGGGACTGTGTTGATGAGAGGGGAGGGGACTGTGTTGACGGGAAGGGTCGGGAACTGTTGACGTGAAGGGTGGGGACGGTGTTGATGAGAGGGGAGGGGACTGTGTTGCTGAGAGGGAAGGGGACTGTGATGATGAGAGGGGAGGGGACTGTGTTGATGAGAGGGGAGGGGGCTGTGTTGATGACAGGGGAGGGGACTGTGTTGACGAGAGAGGTGGGAGACTGTGTTGACGGGAAGGGTCGGGGACTGTGTTGACGGGAAGGGTCGGGGACTGTGTTGACGGGAAAAGTCGTGGACTGTGTTGACGGGAAGAGTCTTGGACTGTGTTAACGGGAAGAGTCGGGGACTGTGTTGACGGGAAGGGTCGGGGACTGTGTTGACGGGAAAAGTCTTGGACTGTGTTGACGGGAAGAGTCTTGGACTGTGTTGACGGGAAAAGTCGGGGACTGTGTTGACGGGAAGGGTCGGGGACTGTGTTGACGGGAAAAGTCTTGGACTGTGTTGACGGGAAGAGTCGTGGACTGTGTTGACGGGAAGAGTCGGGGACTGTGTTGACGGGAAGGGTCGGGGACTGTGTTGACGGGGAAAGTCGTGGACTGTGTTGACGGGAGAGTCTTGGACTGTGTTGACGGGAAAAGTCGGGGACTGTGTTGACGGGAAGGGTCGGGAACTGTGTTGACGGGAAAAGTCGGGGACTGTGTTGACGGGAAGGGTCGGTAACTGTGTTGACGGGAAGAGTTGGGGACTGTGTTGACGGGAAGGGTCGGGGACTGTGTTGACGGGAAAAGTCGTGGACTGTGTTGACGGGAAGAGTCTTGGACTGTGTTGACGGGAAAAGTCGGGGACTGTGTTGACGGGAAGGGTCGGGAACTGTGTTGACGGGAAAAGTCGGGGACTGTGTTGACGGGAAGGGTCGGTAACTGTGTTGACGGGAAGAGTCTTGGACTATGTTGACGAGAAGGGTCGGGGACTCTGTTGACGGGAAGGGTCGGGGACTGTGTTGATGAGAGGGGTGGGGACTGTGTTGATGTGAGGGGTGGGGACTGTGTTGATGAGAGGGGTCGGGGACTGTGTTGATGAGAGGGGTCGGGGACTATTGACGTGAAGGGTGGGGGACTGTGTTGATGAGAGGGGGGGGGGGGTCTGTGTTGATGAGAGGGGAGGGTACTGTGTTGACGAGAGGGGTGGGGGACTGTGTTGATGAGAGGGGAGGGGACTGTGATGATGAGAGGGGAGGGGACTGTGTTGATGAGAGGGGTGGGGGACTGTGATGATGAGAGGGGAGGGGACTGTGTTGACGAGAGGGGTTGGGGATTGTGTTGATGGGAGGGGTGGGGGACTGTGTTGATGAGAGGGGAGGGGACTGTGTTGATGAGAGGGGAGGGGAATGTGTTGACGAGAGGGGTGGGGGACTGTGTTGATGAGAGGGGTCGAGGACTGTGATGATGAGAGGGGTTGGGAATGTGTTAAAGAGAGGGGTGGGGACTAGTTTGATGAGAGGAGTGGGGACTATGTTGACGAGAGGGGTCGGGGACTGTGTTGACGAGAGGGGTGGGGAATGTGTTGATGAGAGGGGTGGGGAATGTGTTGATGAGAGGGACGGGGACTATGTTGACGAGAGGGGTCGGGGACTGTGTTGATGAGAGGGGTGGGGACTGTGTTGATGAGAGGGGTGGGGACTGTGTTGATGAGAGGGGTGGGGACTGTGTTGATGAGAGGGGTCGGGGACTGTGTTGATGAGAGGGGTCGGGGACTGTGTTGATGAGAGGGATGGGGACTGTGTTGCTGAGAGGGGTGGGGACTGTGTTGATGAGAGGGACGGGGACTATGTTAACGAGAGGGGTCGGGGACTGTGTTGATGAGAGGGGTCGGGGACTGTGTTGATGAGAGGGGTGGGGACTGTGTTGCTGAGAGGGGTGGGGACTGTGTTGATGAGAGGGACGGGGACTATGTTAACGAGAGGGGTCGGGGACTGTGTTGATGAGAGGGGTCGGGGACTGTGTTGATGAGAGGGTTGGGGACTGTGTTGCTGAGAGGGGTGGGGAATGTGTTGATGAGAGGGGTGGGGACTGTGTTGACGAGAGGGGTGGGGACTGTGTTGCTGAGAGGGGTGGGAACTGTGTTGATGAGAGGGGTCGGGGACTGTGTTGATGAGAGGGGTGGGGAATGTGTTGATGAGAGGGGTGGGAACTGTGTTGATAAGAGGGGTGGGGACTGTTGACGAGAGGGGTGGGGACTTTGTTGATGAGAGGGGTGGGGACTATGTTGACGAGAGGGGTGGGGACTATGTTGATGAGAGGGGTCGGGGACTGTGTTGATGAGAGGGGTCGGGGACTGTGATGATGAGAGGGGTGGGAACTATGTTGACGAGAGGGGTGTGGACTATGTTGACGAGAGGGGTGGGGACTATGGTGATGAGAGGGGTGTGGACTATGTTGACGAGAGGGGTCGGGGACTGTGTTGATGAGAGGGGTGGGGACTGTGTTGATGAGAGGGGTGGGGACTGTGTTGATGAGAGGGGTGGGGACTGTGTTGATGAGAGGGGTCGGGGACTGTGTTGATGAGAGGGATGGGGACTGTGTTGCTGAGAGGGGTGGGGACTGTGTTGATGAGAGGGACGGGGACTATGTTAACGAGAGGGGTCGGGGACTGTGTTGATGAGAGGGGTCGGGGACTGTGTTGATGAGAGGGGTGGGGACTGTGTTGCTGAGAGGGGTGGGGACTGTGTTGATGAGAGGGACGGGGACTATGTTAACGAGAGGGGTCGGGGACTGTGTTGATGAGAGGGGTCGGGGACTGTGTTGATGAGAGGGTTGGGGACTGTGTTGCTGAGAGGGGTGGGGAATGTGTTGATGAGAGGGGTGGGGACTGTGTTGACGAGAGGGGTGGGGACTGTGTTGCTGAGAGGGGTGGGAACTGTGTTGATGAGAGGGGTCGGGGACTGTGTTGATGAGAGGGGTGGGGAATGTGTTGATGAGAGGGGTGGGAACTGTGTTGATAAGAGGGGTGGGGACTGTTGACGAGAGGGGTGGGGACTTTGTTGATGAGAGGGGTGGGGACTATGTTGACGAGAGGGGTGGGGACTATGTTGATGAGAGGGGTCGGGGACTGTGTTGATGAGAGGGGTCGGGGACTGTGATGATGAGAGGGGTGGGAACTATGTTGACGAGAGGGGTGTGGACTATGTTGACGAGAGGGGTGGGGACTGTGTTGACGAGAGGGGTGGGGACTATGGTGATGAGAGGGGTGTGGACTATGTTGACGAGAGGGGTCGGGGACTGTGTTGATGAGAGGGGTCGGGGACTGTGTTGATGAGAGGGGTGGGGACTATGTTGATGAGAGGGGTGGGAACTATGTTGACGAGAGGGGTGTGGACTATGTTGACGAGAGGGGTGGGGACTATGTTGATGAGAGGGGTGTGGACTATGTTGATGAGAGGGGTGGGGACTATGTTGATGAGAGGGGTCGGGGACTGTGTTGATGAGAGGGGTCGGGGACTGTGTTGATGAGAGGGGTGGGAACTGTGTTGATAAGAGGGGTGGGGACTGTTGACGAGAGGGGTGGGGACTTTGTTGATGAGAGGGGTGGGGACTATGTTGACGAGAGGGGTGGGGACTATGTTGATGAGAGGGGTCGGGGACTGTGTTGATGAGAGGGGTCGGGGACTGTGATGATGAGAGGGGTGGGAACTATGTTGACGAGAGGGGTGTGGACTATGTTGACGAGAGGGGTGGGGACTATGGTGATGAGAGGGGTGTGGACTATGTTGACGAGAGGGGTCGGGGACTGTGTTGATGAGAGGGGTGGGGACTGTGTTGATGAGAGGGGTGGGGACTGTGTTGATGAGAGGGGTGGGGACTGTGTTGATGAGAGGGGTCGGGGACTGTGTTGATGAGAGGGATGGGGACTGTGTTGCTGAGAGGGGTGGGGACTGTGTTGATGAGAGGGACGGGGACTATGTTAACGAGAGGGGTCGGGGACTGTGTTGATGAGAGGGGTCGGGGACTGTGTTGATGAGAGGGGTGGGGACTGTGTTGCTGAGAGGGGTGGGGACTGTGTTGATGAGAGGGACGGGGACTATGTTAACGAGAGGGGTCGGGGACTGTGTTGATGAGAGGGGTCGGGGACTGTGTTGATGAGAGGGTTGGGGACTGTGTTGCTGAGAGGGGTGGGGAATGTGTTGATGAGAGGGGTGGGGACTGTGTTGACGAGAGGGGTGGGGACTGTGTTGCTGAGAGGGGTGGGAACTGTGTTGATGAGAGGGGTCGGGGACTGTGTTGATGAGAGGGGTGGGGAATGTGTTGATGAGAGGGGTGGGAACTGTGTTGATAAGAGGGGTGGGGACTGTTGACGAGAGGGGTGGGGACTTTGTTGATGAGAGGGGTGGGGACTATGTTGACGAGAGGGGTGGGGACTATGTTGATGAGAGGGGTCGGGGACTGTGTTGATGAGAGGGGTCGGGGACTGTGATGATGAGAGGGGTGGGAACTATGTTGACGAGAGGGGTGTGGACTATGTTGACGAGAGGGGTGGGGACTGTGTTGACGAGAGGGGTGGGGACTATGGTGATGAGAGGGGTGTGGACTATGTTGACGAGAGGGGTCGGGGACTGTGTTGATGAGAGGGGTCGGGGACTGTGTTGATGAGAGGGGTGGGGACTATGTTGATGAGAGGGGTGGGAACTATGTTGACGAGAGGGGTGTGGACTATGTTGACGAGAGGGGTGGGGACTATGTTGATGAGAGGGGTGTGGACTATGTTGATGAGAGGGGTGGGGACTATGTTGATGAGAGGGGTCGGGGACTGTGTTGATGAGAGGGGTCGGGGACTGTGTTGATGAGAGGGGTGGGGACTGTGTTGCTGAGAGGGGTGGGGACTGTGTTGATGAGAGGGGAGGGGACTGTGTTGATGAGAGGGGTGGGAACTGTGTTGATGAGAGGGGTGGGAACTGTGTTGATGAGAGGGGTGGGAACTGTGTTGCTGAGAGGGGTGGGGACTGTGTTGATGAGAGGGGTGGGGAATGTGTTGATGAGAGGGGTGGGGAATGTATTGATGAGAGGGGAGGGGACTGTGTTGATGAGAGGGGTGGGAACTGTGTTGATGAGAAGGGTGGGGACTGTGTTGATGAGAGGGGTCGGGGACTGTGTTGATGAGAGGGGTGGGGACTGTGTTGATGAGAGGGGAGGGGACTGTGTTGATGAGAGGGGAGGGGACTGTGTTGATGAGAGGGGTCGGGGACTGTGTTGATGAGAGGGGAGGGGACTGTGTTGATGAGAGGGGTGGGGACTGTGTTGATGAGAGGTGGGGGAACTGTGTTGATGAGAGGGGTCGGGGACTATGATGATGAGAGGGGTGGGGACTGTGTTGACGAGAGGGGTGGGGACTGTGTTGCTGAGAGGGGTGGGAACTGTGTTGATGAGAGGGGAGGGGACTGTGTTGACGAGAGGGGTGGGGACTGTGATGATGAGAGGGGTGGGGACTGTGTTGATGAGAGGGGTGGGGACTGTGTTGATGAGTGGGGTGGGGACTGTGTTGATGAGAAGGGTGGGGACTGTGTTGATGAGAGGGGTGGGAACTGTGTTGATGAGAAGGGTGGGGACTGTGTTGATGAGAGGGGTCGGGGACTGTGTTGATGAGAGGGGTGGGGACTGTGTTGATGAGAGGGGAGGGGACTGTGTTGATGAGAGGGGTGTGGACTATGTTGACGAGAGGGGTGGGGACTGTGTTGACGAGAGGGGTGGGGACTATGGTGATGAGAGGGGTGGGGACTATGTTGATGAGAGGGGTCGGGGACTGTGTTGATGAGAGGGGTCGGGGACTGTGATGATGAGAGGGGTGGGAACTATGTTGACGAGAGGGGTGGGGACTATGTTGATGAGAGGGGTCGGGGACTGTGTTGATGAGAGGGGTCGGGGACTGTGATGATGAGAGGGGTGGGAACTATGTTGACGAGAGGGGTGTGGACTATGTTG